GGAATATAAGGCTAGAGAGGAGATGGAATTGGAGAGGAGTGAGGTGAAAGTAAAGGCTAGAAAGGGGACAGTTATGGGAAATGATTACAGATAGGTGAAAATGTCAGAAAGAAAATGTAACCAAAGGGGCAGAGAGGGGTGGGGTGGGGATGATGAAGATAAGGAGAAGTCAGAGAGGGAGTCTGAGGTATGAGAGGTAGAGAGAGAGAGAGAGAGAGAGAGAGAGACAGAGAGAGACAGAGAGAGACAGAGAGAGAGAGAGACAGAGAGAGAGAGACAGAGAGACAGAGAGACAGAGATACAGAGGTAGACAGGGCCAGGGAGATAGATAGAGACAGAGAGGGAAAAAGAGAGGAGAGAGACAGATAGACAGAGAGAGACAGAAAGAAAGAGAGACAGAGATAGAGAAAGAGAGACAGAGAGAGACAGAGGCAAAGAAAGAGAGGAAGAAAAAGAGAAAGAGGGAAAAAGAGGAGAGAAGGGAGGGAGAGAGTGAGATCGAGAGGAAGAGAAGGACAGGTTGGAAAGTGAGGGAATGAGGACAGAGAGAAGTTAGAGAAAGGAGACTGTATGAAAGAAAGGCAAGCATCAGGGGAAGGTCTTTCCCTACCTATAGACATTGTTGTGGAATGGGTTGTAACTCCCCAGGGCAATGAGGGATCCAAGACCCAGACCGTAGGAGAAGAAGATCTGAGTTGCTGCATCCAGCCACACCTATTGAGTAGATGAAAGTGCCATGAGTGTTGGCATGGACTTGTGTGGTGGGGTCAACCTTATGGTTAGACTTTGCCACTCTGGGACCCAGAAGTCCTACACACAGAGTAGGAAGGCACCTGGCCTGGGGCAAGGGGACCAGTAAGCTCACCTCTGAGTCTGACAGTTTGCCAAAGTTGGGAGTGATGTAGAAAAGGATGCCCTCTCTGGCTCCAGGCAGTGTCACTCCTCGGAAGAACAGAATGATGAGCATGATGTATGGGTATGTGGCAGAGAAGTAGACCACCTAATAGGAGGAAAGAATGTGTCAGGTAAGGCTCACTTAACACTGCTCTGTAACATGTAACCCCTCTCCCAGTAATGTGGGTCTCCTCAATTGTCTACCTTTCTCATAAATACACATACTATGAGCTTCCCTGCTTTTTCTGTCCATGCTGTTCTCTGACCTACAAGCCCATCTCTATTCTTCACCTAGATAAATTCTACCCACATCCTATCCATCCTTCAGACCCTGACTCATCTCCTCCAGGAAGTCTTCCTGGGTTAGAAAGCAGAGTAACATATTAGAAGATAGTATATTAGAACCGGTCTAATAATCTATGCTTCCAGTGTATACTGGAGGCAGAGGGGTGTAGAAAGAGTAATGGAGTTGGGTCAGTGGATTTGGGTTGAGCAGAATCTTAATTCTGTTATTTACTACCTGTGTGACTTTGAGACAAGTCAATGAACAATTCTGGGCCTCTTTCCTCGTCTATGAAATGAATATGTCTGGGTTCTTTCCAGCTCTAAAACTCTGCAATCCTGTGAGCTGTAGCACTAACATTCTTATTGCAATTAATCGTTCACTAGTTATGAGTTAGAGTGTAAACTCACCTCAATGAGCAGGGGATCATACTTTTTTGTCCTCTACTAATTCTCAGACCATTGCAGGCATCAGTTAATGTTTGTGTTGGTTGACTAAATGATTGACCCAATAGCTCCCTTCCCAGCTAGGCCAGACCTTAGCATCAGCCTTGGGCTAGATGTGATGGAGCCTTCTCTTTTTCTCCAGGAAATGCAGGGCAGCTCCCAGTGTGGAGAGGCAGCATGGTACAGCAGAAAGAGCTTCAGAGGCAGAGGATCTGGGTCCAAATTTTGCCTCTGACACTTGGGCAAGTGTGTGATCTTGGGTCAGTCATTTTATCTTTTTAGACCTCAGTTTCCTTATCTGTAAAGTGAAGGGGTTGGCCTCCTGAGGTCTCTAAGGTCCTTTCTAGCCCTAAAGCATTGATCCTTTGGACCAAAAATGACCTCAAAGACAGACACTACTTGGGAACATGTCTTTCTCTCCTTGAAGGTGGCCATCTCTTTCTTACTCTCTGTTGGCCATTTGGGTAAATCAGTGATGAGCCAGAGAGGTGGCCCTTCACTCTTAGCCATCACTGAAAAGAGCAAAAACTACCAGGGGCAATGGGAAGTTGGCCTTGGCAGAGTTAATCCCGTTCCGTAGTAGAAGCCGTCATGAAATTAGGCCATCTCATTTGGTAGCTTAATTAGACTTGTAGCTCCCATCCTGGGAGAATGAAGTTTTTTATTAGCTATGATGAGGTCCAAGAGCAGAACTCGTTAAGGCTGGCCTGTACTCATTAGCCCATCACTGCCTGTACTGAGCAGCTTCTCCCTTTTCTTACTATGCAGAAAGGTCATGGGTGGATATGCCTACACACCAGCTCCTTGGGCAGCACTTCCACCTTCTTGTGGGTTTTGCTCTCAGAGGAGAGAATCTATAGCCTTTCACTAGGATGGACAAGCATGCTGAAGCCATGTGGAATTGGAGGGTCTGGTTCAGGGAGGGGAGTGTCCTGAATCCCTCCCCTTGCCTTTTCCAGGAATCTGAGTGCTCCTGGGAGGACTTGTTCAGGAAGTCAGATTCCTCTCCCTCTGTTACTGTACCACGTGAGGTTGGTGACTTTGCACAGCCTTCCCTCTCTTAAATCCAATTCATTTGCATGCCATGCATGTCATGGCATCACCTCCCCGATGTCATGGTCCTCTTCCAGAATGAAGGACAAGCAATAGCAGGCTCATAAAAGAGTGAGCCTTATCCAATGGTGCACTCACCATTTTTGGTGAGCACAGCACACACTGGCCCCCTTACTTTGTATCTATTTAGTTTGGGTCATTTTTTTATGGAGGGGATGCTTATCCTTTGGATCCTTCTTGGGTTTGGGGCTTTTGAAATAGGCAAGGGGAAGGTTCACAAAGGCACCTGATTGGCTTGAGTATGTCAATGGTTAGGCATGGAGAACTTGATGGTTCTGGATTTCCTAACCTGCAACTATCTCCCTGGTTGATAGTAATGATTCAGCCCACTCAAAGTCAGCCTCTTCAGAGAAGAGTACTGAGGGATATCAAGGACATACAATTGAGCAAAAGGAAGGATGAAGTGAGGAAGACTTGACTGAGAGTCAAAAGACCTGGGTTCTAGACCCAGCTCTGCCCCTAACTCACTCACTGTATGACCCTGGACAAGTCACTTCCCCTTTTAGGGGTCTCAATTTCCTCAAATGTGGCAGGTTGAACCAAATGATATCTAAGGTCCCTTTTAGCTCTAAGATTCCACAGTCCTGTGGTTCCTCTTAGGCAGTCATCTACAGCTTAGGAAATAGGGTTTAATTGAATCATGTATTTCTGGGACACCTGAACTGCTTTCATATTCAAGGCATTCCCTGGAAACTGTTATGTTTCCTAGTTTGTACCATACTGGGGTAAGGGGGAGGTGACTAACACATCTAAGGCTCTTATCACATCTAAGATTTAGATTTAGAACTGGAAATGACCTTAGAGACCATTGAGATTAACCTCTTCATTTTACAGATTAGGAAACTGAGGCATAGAGATGTTAAATGATGTACTTAGGATCATACAAGTCACAAGTGTTTGAGACAGGATTTGAAACTGTATTATTTGACAGTTTCAATGATTTAGAGGTAGAAGGATCCTCAGTAATAATCTATTCCAACCCCCTTTATTTTACAGATAAGGAAACTGAGACCAGAGACATTAAGTTATTTGCCAAAGATTACACAGTAGCAACTGGCAGAATTTGGATTTAAAACCGCATCCTTTGAGGGTCAAGTAGGCGGCGCAATGGATAGAGCACTAGCCCTGGAGTCAAGAGGACCTGAGTTAATTTGGCCTCACACACTTACTAACTGTGTGACCCTGGACAAGTCACTTAACCCTGATTGCTTCCCCCCAAAACACACAAAAAAAAGAAAAAAATAAAACCACGTCCTCAGACCCCTAAATCCTGTCCTCTTCCACTGGAAGTTCCATCCCGTCTCCCTGCTCCATTGATTTTCAAAGTAACTCATCTAAAGCTTAAAACCTGAATGAATCCTTAGATTCATAGTTACCTATATTGAAGACTTGCCTAGCCCAGACTGGAAGGGTCCATTTGGAGGTATGTTCAAGAAAGCAACCCATTTCTTAGAGAAATATACCAGTTTGGGAAGAAAGGCAGTCCATGAAAGAATATTCTATATTTTAGCAAAAATGAGGAGGAACACACCTGGAAACTACTGATACAGTTTTCTGTTTCTGTCTTTTGGCCTTGGGGGCACACACCATCTGAGAATCCGAGACTTGAAAAGGACCCAAGGTCTGCTAGTCTAACTTACCACCCAATGTAGGAACCTACAAAGTCCATGAGAGATACTTTCCTCCATTTAGAGGACGCACAGCTTACCTTTCCAGTCCAGCCAACACCTTTCCAGATGCAAAAATATACCAAGATCCAGGCGATGGCCAGGGTGATAGCGAGTGGCCATCGGATCTGCCCTGGTTTCTCCAATCCATCCGTCATCTGATGCATGTTGCGCCTTGGGGAAGGGGGCAGGGAGACAAGAAAGAAACATCTCTGTCAGTATTAACTGGAGCCTCTGTGAGAAGGGCAAAGGAGTTGAAAGTGGGGAAGAGGGAAATGAGGAAGGGAGGTTAGAATTAGGAATGAATAGGATGGAGGAGGGGGTTGGAACTGGTGATTAGTCAATTGGACTTTGACTATTTGACTATTCTTTCTCAGTCTCTTTTGATGGACCCTCATCCAGCACCTCTTCTCTTGTCCTTGTCCTGCTTTTCTCTTCTCTCTCTCTGTCCTCATGAGGCCTTCCCTGATAAACCCCAATTGCTAATCAGTTCTACACCACCCCCACCCCCAATCCTGGTACCTTACATCTCTTTTGCATATCCCTACATATGGACATGATGTCTCCCCTGTTATCATTTTAGCTATTTGATGGCAAATTCTGCTTCATTTTTTGGTCTTTGTATCTTTAGTGCCAAGCACAGTGCCTGGAATACAACTATTTGTTTGCTTGATTGGTTGACTGGATGTCTCCTCAGCTCCCATGGTTTTGATGGCCATCTCTTTGCAGATGACTCTGAGATCTAGGCATCTAACCTCAATATCTTTCTCCTGAACTCCCATTCCTCCTCATGAACTGCCTGTTGGACAGTTCTAAACGAGGTCCATGTGGATATCTCAAACTCAACTTTTCCAAAACAACTCATTATCTTCAACCCACCTTCTCCAAATGTTGCAATTTTGTGTGAGGGCACTATCATCCTTCTAGTCAATTAGGTTTGCAACCTTAAAGTCATTCTTAACTCTTCCATTTCCTTCACATCCCATGTTCAATGAGTTGTGTATTCATTCTAGTTCTCCCTTCACAATATATCTTGCATCCATTTCCTTGGCAACCATCCTGGTGCAGGTCCTCATCATCTCTCAACTAGACTACAGAAATAACTTCCTAATTGGATTGTTGGCTTACAAGCTCTACTGTCTCCAGTCCCACCCCCACAGTTTGTTGTTGTTCAGTCTTTCAGTTGTGTCTAATTCTTTATGACCCCATTTGGGGCTTTCTTGGCAAAGATGCTGGAGGGGTTTGCTATTTCATTTTCCAGCTCATTTTACAGATGAGGAAACTGAGGCAAACAAGGTTAAGTAACTTGTCCAGGGTCACACAGTTAGGAAGTGTCTGAGGACAGTTTCCTACATAATCTTTCTAAAACCCATCTGACTTTATCAATCCCCTGCCCAATAACCTTCAGAGGTTTGCTATTACCACTGGGACAAAAAGTCCTCAGATTAGCATTTCATAATGTCTCTCCAGCCTGCTCTTTTATAATTATTTCACGTTATACCCCTTTATCCAATGTGTATTCCATTTCAATAGACCAACTTGCTGTTCCCATTTCCCACTTCCACACCTCTGCACAGCTTTCCCCCAAATTGGTGGTGGACAAGATCTGACCGACAGATCCTTCCAAGAAGGGAATATACTCCCTTATTACCTCTGACTCTTAGAAACCTTGACTTACTTCAAGATTCACTCCATGTGCTATATGCTACTGAAAGCCTTTCCTGATATCCCTGGCATATTATTAGTGCTTTCTCTCCTTCCTCAAATACATATCTGTTTGCCTGCTTTTTTCCCTACCCCCTGAGGTGAGTGTAAGGTTCTTGAGTGTGGATATAGTTTTTTTTTGTTTGGTTTTGTCTTTTTATCCCCAGTGCCCATCATAGTACCTCACATACAGTAGGTGCTCAATAAATGCTGTTGGATGAAGGGGAAGGCAGTCTATTTCTGAGTGTAGAGAGATTAGCATATTATGAAGAGCACCAGATTTAAAGTCAGAGGGTCTGCATTCAAAGCCCACCACTACCACTAACTAACTGCCTATGTGACCTTGGCCAAGTCAGTGGGGCTTTGATTTTCTCATCTGTAAAATGAACATGTTGGGTATGATGGTCTCAAAGATTCTTTCTAGATTTAAATCTGTTACCCTCTGATCTACAGTCTCCTCCAACTCTCGGACTTGGACTCTTGGGGTACAGCCCATCGATTTGAGGAGAAAAAGGAAGCTCCAGACTTACTCCCAGAATTCCACCACGGCGCTTGTCATGTTGGTGGTGTTTGCGATGCTGTAGTTGGAGAAGCAGCGGTCTGTGTTCCAGGAATTTTCACAGTGTCTCCAGGGAAGTGTCTATGGAGATACAATCAGGCCAGTCTCAATAGGAGCCACATGGAGAGAGCCTAAATTAAGGGTCAGGCAAGGTGGGGGGAAGCTGGGTCAGCTGCTCTCACATTCTGCTCCTCAAAGCCAAGGCTGAGGCTGTGGGGAGGATTAGCATTTCTACTGGTCAGAGTCTTGCCTGGACCCCAACTGAGTGCCTTGACAAGGTCACTGCTTAAGGAGACAATAGCAGTACCCGTGGGAAAGGGATCCGGCCAAGGGCAATGAGCTGTTTTATCATGATTTTGCTTTGGCATTGGGGATACATTGTCTCCTCCAAGAGTGACTAGGCCAGGTTCTGTGCCTGCCCCAGGCAGCATGTCATGGGCATTCTGGTCACTGGCTGTAGCTGTCTGGGGTGATTTCTGCCTCAACTGTACACACAGGTAACTTTTGTAGGCAGTAGGGCTTGGGTATAGGTCCCTTTCTAAGAAGGGAACCGAAGAGTTATGACTGGCTGCTTTTTAGAGGCCTTCAGAGTTTGAGTGACCCAGATACATAATGGAGGTGGTGCTATCAAGGTGTGTGTGTGTGTGTGTGTGTGAGAGAGAGAGAGACAGAGAGAGAGAGAGAGAGAGAGAGAGAGAGAAAAGGGTCTTGATAACTGAAGGATCTGATGGAATCTAATTGATGGTGGTGGTAGCAGGATTGAGACTCTCTCATTCTCATTGGTTGGTTTGTCTAATTTCCCCCCCTCTTATGCCTCTGTGTCTTTTAAGAGAAATTTGTTATGCAGGATGGTTTTTGAAAGGGATTGGGGAAATTTAGGTGATGTGAAAACAAAATATAGTAATTAAAATATCTTTTAAAAATTAGTGCTTGTTGACTGACTCAGAGGGCAATTTGTATGAAACAACTTATGTAGAGAAAACACTGAAATTGAAGAAATAGAGACTGTGTGTGTGTTTATGTGTGTGTGTGTGTGTGTGTGTGTGTGTGTGTGAGGCTGGGGATATTAGGAGGGAGGTTCAAGACAAACTGTCAGCTTCTTAGCTTTTTTTTTTTAATGGTTGAGACCCATAAGGGCCCCGGCCACCCAGATGGGAGCTGTTTCCTGATGCCCAGAGCACAAGGATGGGGAGAGGAGATACTTACTGTGGTGAATGAGTTGTACAGGTAGTAGATGGCCCAAGAGATGATGACAATGTAGTAAATATTGAGCCAAAAGGATAACACAGCAGCAGCCAGCCCTACACCTGGGAGAGGAAGAAGAGCAAGCATGAGGGTTATGGCCACACCCAGGTCAGCATTGGTAGTCACTTAAGTATTTTTCTAATATTCATTATGTGCAGGACACTACAGAGGATGCAAAGACATGTTGGGCAGAGTTCCTTCCTTTAAAGAGCTTACAATTCACCTGAAAAGGCAGAATTTGAGTCTTATCTAAATGTTCTCTAGCCCTAGAACATTGCTCCGCATGCAATAGGTGTTTATTAAGTGTTTGTAGAATGACTAATATACAGAGATAGTAGGTGCTTTCTAAGTAGTTGTTGAATGAATAAATCCTAATAGAATGTTAGGTCTGGAAGGAAGCTCTGAGATCAGTTGAATCCCCTCCATTTACAGATGAGGAAACTTAGGTCCTTGGCAGTAGAGTTGCCTTGCCCAAAGTCATACAACCAACAGGTCTAGACCCCATGTATCCTGACTCACAGACCACCCCACGACCTCTCCAAGTAAGCCCAAGGCCTCCAAAAAAGGCTACCTCGTCACCCTAAGGCTCTGAAGTTGGAGTTCAAGGCACATTGTCTTCAATAAGAACAAAGTTTCCTCTTTCCCTCAACTTACCCTTGAACATTGGAGCAAGCTTCCAAACCCCAAGGCCTCCAATCGATGTGTACTGGCCCAGGGAACACTCCAGAAGGAAGAGAGGGACTCCGGCAAAGATGAGAGTTAGGAAGTAAGGGATCAGAAATGCCCCTGCAGGGAAGAAGAAAGAAAGGCAGTATGTACCAAGGCCCTAGGAAGGCCACTGACTGGGCAGGACACAGCCATTAGCCCAGTAGTAAAGTGGAAAAATCAAAGGAAGCCCTGGGGCAAGGGAGGGAGAGGACAAGAGTGGGGAGGCAAAACTTCCTGCAGTCTTTCAAGGCTTTGTGATTTCTTCCCTGCGGATGTGTCCTTCACTGAACAGATGGTCTTTGCGAGTTGTTGGGGCCAAAAATTTAACTCCCACCCCCTTCCGTGGCTAGACTTCTTGGGATGAGATGCTCTGAACTTGACTGGGCTGGCTTTTGGACTATCATCACTGGGTCCATGCACAGAGCCTTAATATTTTGGTAAGCTCTGTGGAACCTGCATCCTATTGACATAGCCATTGGAAACCTAACTAGTATCCTCTCTAGATCACAAGGCACCAAAGCAGGATTTTAGTAAGAATAGTGAGAGCTGTTTAAGAAATGAAATAATGATGTTTAAAGATCTCCTATATATGCTATAACCTTGTGGGTGTGTGTATGTGTATGTCATGGACCTCTTTGACTGTAAAGGGCAGTCTATGCACCCCTTTTCAGAATGATGTCTTTACATAGAATGAAATATAAAGGATTACAAAGAAAATTGATTATTTTGAAGTATAATACAAATAAATATATTTGAAAGTAAAGTTCATAGACCCCAGGTCAAAAACACTCCCTACTCCACTCTAGTTAAATTCTCTTATTTTAGAGATGAGGAAACTGAGGTCCAGAGAATGAAATCCCTTGTGCAAGTCATAAGTGGAAAAATTGGGATTTAAACTGAGGTCATCTACCTTCAAAACTGAAAGTCTTTCCATTACACTATTTAATTTGGCCATTTGATGAATCTATCTGGTATAAAAGGAATAAGGCAGGAAATGGAACATTTCTTAGAGATTTCTACTGAAGATCACATAGTGGTCAAGCTGGGACTAGAGCCCAGATTTTTCTTGCTAAAGGTCTACCAATGTCTTCTCTCTTTTTTCCCCCTTTCTTTCTCCTTTAGTACCTTTGAGGAACATGGCTGAGCTGTCTACTGTCTTCTTCTACCCAATCTCTAGGAGTTTGAGACAGACCATGAATACGTACCACCACCATTCTTTCCACAGAGATAGGGAAAGCGCCAAACGTTTCCCAGTCCTATGGCATAGCCCACACAGGACATGAGGAAGTCGAATCGGCCTTTCCAGGTGTCCCGGTCAGGAAGGTCTGTTGATTTCTTCTTCTGTACTTTCACCACCAATGTCTTGGGCTTGTCATTGGTGATGGAGGCCTCACTGACCTCAGTGGAAATCTGCCCATCTGCAATCTTGGTCCCATTGGTCGCCATGTCTCTGGGTTTGGATGGGGAGGCCCTGGCAGATGGACGGGAGATATCAGCCCCAGTCCACGTGGACAGCAGCTTTGCAGCCCTCAATTGCCCAACTAGGGAGTCAAAAGTTTGTTGGGATCAATGCAGGAGAGGGAATGATAGGAATGGTCAGAGTGCAAGGATCCTGGAAATGGGCCTCAGCTCCTAGAAAATGCAAATTTGTGATTTAATAGAGTTGTCATTCTACATCTCTTCCTTCCTGAATTTTTCCCCACTGAAAAATGAAAGAAAAATGATTGTTCTTCAAAGCTCACATGGGATATATAGAATTTGAGATGATTTCAGCCCCAAAACAGAATTAACTTGTTGACCATGGATTAGCTTAAGAAGATTTGGCTCCTTCTCTTTCTCTGGCATTTAGCATGTCTATTTATATAGGCCTAGATAACTCCCACTGACAGACCACTCAAAACTTTACAAACCCCTCTGCTATAGCATGCCCCTGTGAGATAGGTAATACTAATACTTTTATTCCCATTTTACAGATGAGAAAACTGAGATATTAAAGAGCTTGCTCATGATCATACAGCTAAGAAGTCTATGGACCAGACTTTGAACCTATGCCTCCCAGCTCCAAGTCCAGAAGTCTTTCTGCTTCACCAAATGATATGCATATTTTGTGATTTAATGCATAAGAAAGGCTACCAGTGGCATAATAATAATAGCTAGCATTTATATAGAGCTTTAAGATTTGCAAAATATCTTGCATATATTAACTTAGTGCTTAGCACAGTGCCTGGCACACAGTAGGTGCTCAATAAATACTTCTTGACTTGACTGACCTCATTTAATATGCACAATAGCCCTGGGAGTTAGGTGCTATTATCATCCCCACTTTACAGGTGAGGCAAGTGAGATGGAGAGAAGTTACATGACTTGCCTGCAGATACACAGCTCTTAAGACTAAGACAGGATTTGAAAACAAGTCTTCCTGATTCCAAGTCCAGCATGCCATCCACTAAATCACCCACCTAGTTGTCTGCATAGATATTTAAAGCAGTAGCTACAAACTGGGTATTTGACTCAAGCTTATATTAATTATATTATATTGTTATATTACATTGTATTATGTTATATTATGTTATGATATATTATATCACATTATGATTTCTTTTTCCCCCATCCTGAGCTTGCATCATCTGGGAGGCTGTGGAAACCACCTCATGAACCTAACTGAACTTCTAAGTAAGATGTCTGTGAAGGCTTTTGCAAACCTTAAAATGGTAGCTAAATATTCACTTTTATCACTGTTATTTACTTAGAGATATATTTTTGCCTGTAGACCAGAAGATAGACTACATGGCTTCTAAATATCACAGATTTAGAGCTGGGAAGGAGATCATCTAATTCAAGTTCCTTGCTTTATAGGTGAGGAAAGCAGAGGTCAAGTGACCTGCCCAACATGGCGCAGTAGCAAGAAGCAGAGCAGGGATTTGAACCAAGGCCCTCTGACTTCCAAATCTGCATCCTCTTCCTGCTATGTCCCACACACTGCCCTCTTGAGCCCCCTCTTCAGTTACCTGCAATATTCGTGTTGTCAGTTGGCTCGGGTGAGATTCCATCCACATGTACTGCCAATATCACTGTGGAGGGAGGAGAGACAAGTTGTGAGCAGAAGGAGGGGTGGGATGCCAGTGATGGGGGAGCCCTGCAGCAGTGCTAGGGTGGAGGAAGGTGGGGATCTGCCAGCCCTTGTCAGCGATGAATATGTGCCCAGCTGATCTCTGCGACGAGAGGGGCAGTGGTGATATCCATGCAATGTGGAGCTGGCCCTGCGGGGAGCTGGAGACATGCAATGTGCCAGTGTTGGCTGGCCTTGGGGAAGAGGGCAGGTGGGTCAGTAGGGGTGGAGATGGGAGAAAAACGTTCCATAATTTTATCAGAAGAAAACGCAAGTGATCTGAGGAGCTCTTCAGGGGCCTTATCAAGAGCTGTTGAATTGCAACAGATATCTTTTTTTTCAAACATTTTTTCTCAACATTTTTTTTTCAACATCTAAACTTATGGAACCCACACAGCAAATTGTGAACCTCAAAGCAAATCACCTCAGAAAAGATCCAGGATCCAGGCCCAGCCCGGTCCAGCCAAAGCAACACGAACTCTCTGCCTGATGCTTCCCTCCCCAAGATGCCCTTCAGCTCAGCACTGCCAAATCATCCAGGAGCAGGAGCACCATGACTGACCGTGAGGTTGACCTCCCTATCTGCAAGGTGCATAGCCTCCTCCCTGCTCCCACATGCACACATTACTATGTGAGATGAACCCAACAATCCCCAGTTACCTAATGTCATAGTCTCTTCCTAGAGGCTAAAGAGAGCTGGACGAGCATGGTGGGCTTCTGTTTGGAAAGTGCTAGCTTTACATCGCTTGGGTCTCATCCTCAAAGATGACCTTGTTCATTTTCAGCCTTTACTATGTTTTAGTCTGGTTTCAGGACCCAGAAAGATATCTTCTATGATGATCCACATGCCTGACTCAGTCATGGCAAGGAAAGACCCCCTCAACAACCCAACCCATTTGGATAGTTGCTTCCTATGATGAGTGAGAACCATAGGATCCAAGAGGCACCATCTGGGTCATAAGATTTAGAGTTGGAAAAGACCTTAGATAGCTAATCCAACCCCTTTATTTTAAGTTTTATTGATGCTTCTTGTCTTTTCTGACATAATTATTTCCCAACATAAATACCCATTTTGTTACAGAAAAACTGTTCAACAAAAACTTTGCAATAAAACAATCATGCTTGATAACATATGAGCTATTTCACCCTTTAGCCCAATACTTCTCTACCCAGAGGATGGTCTTTCATTATCTGTTCTTCTTAATCTGAATTCAGTTGTCTTGCAATGTTGTTTTCACTTGTGTTACTGTAGTCATTTATGTATACTATTCTCCTGGTTCTCCTTATTTCACTCTGTATCAGTTCATATAAATCTTCTCTTGTTTCTCCAAATCCTTCATTTTAATAATTTCTTACGGTATGATAGTATTCCATTGCATTCATATACTACAGTTTGTTCAGTCATGCTGTAACTGATGGACATCCATTTTGCTTCCATTTTTTTCTGTGACAAAAAGTGTTGTTCTAAATATTTTGCTCTATTCAATCCTATTCAGTTCAATAAACATTTATTACAGGTCATTTAACCCTGTTTGCCTCAGTTTCCTCATCTGCAAAATGAGCTAGAGAAGGAAATGGCAAACCACTCCAGTATCTCTGCTAAGAAAATCCCAAAAGGAGTCACAAAGAGTCAGACATGACTGAAATGACTAAAAGCAACAAAAATGTACCAAGCATTGTGCTAAGCACTGGGACAAATAAGAGAAAGAATGACAATCCTTGCCCTTAAGGAGCTTACAATCTAATGAGGAAAGACAATACACAAAAGGAAACTGGATGCCAGGGGAACCTGTGCAGAAGCATCTTGTTCCTTGGAGATGAAGCCAGGCAGAACTGCAGATATAAAGTGAAGTGAGCTGAAAGTCCAAGTTGTCCATTTATAAGGGAAGCAATTGGGAAGGCTTGGTACTCCACCCTCCAGCTCTTCAATAAGAAGGGAGAGGAGGCTTAGGGAGGTGATATTAAATTAACAACATGGTGATGAGATTAGAAGTGATAAACATATCTTGACAGGGGCATCTTGTTCCTTGGAGTTGAAAATAGATACAGATGGAGAGTGAAGTGAATCCTTTCCCTGTGCCTTTGACTTCCTTAGGTTATATATAACCACTAGAATCAAATGGTCAAAGGGTGTATACAGTTTAGTCATTTTACTTACATTACTCCAAATTGTTTTACATGACAACGGACTAAATAATAACTCCATCAACAGTATACTAGTATGCCTGTCTTCCTACAGCCCTTCCATCTTTTATTATGTTTGTCAGTTTGATGGGCAAGAGTTTAAAAAAAGTATTTCTATTATTAGTGATCTGAAACATTTTTCATATGGTTGTTGATTATTTGAATTTTTTTTGAAAATTGGTCATATCCTTTGACCATTTGTCTATTGTAACCTCCTTCCTTTATAAGGGAACTGAGTCCCAAAGTGAGAATATGACTTATTTAAGGTCACATAGATAATAACGATCCTCTAGTATTCTAGAGGAAAAGAATTCCTTGGGTTTTCAGTGAGTTGCCAAGGGCTTTTTCATGATAGAAACACAACTTTACCACCACCAATTCCCTAAAGGAGAAAAGATCTGAGAGAAAAAGTCAAGGCACAGATGAGATTTGAAGTAGGTCACCTTTATCACACCCCAGGAGAAATTTCCTTGAAATCTTTAAATGGTCAGACAAATGCCTGGCATGTGATGGTGGCAGTTTTGCCCCCTTGGTATGTGCTACTAAAATAATAGTCTCATTTATTCCCATGAACATGCTAAGAAAATGAGTAAAACATTACTCGTTAATATTAATGTATCCTTTCCAAACTGTTTATATTTAGTGATGATACTACACCCCTTGTAGGGGACTTCCACCCTCAGCCTTCAACAGATAATTAAGGACAGTAGAGATATCTGCAAAGGTGAGACTTGGGATACAAGAAAACACCCAATGTTAACATAGAATAGACTAGATTGGCAGGGTTAGGGGTGGTTTGGCTAACTGAAAGTTAGCATAAAGAATTAAAATACAGTAAAATACATTTTGTAGGATCACAGCTGAAATTTTGAATTAATTATAATTTATTAATTTTCATAGGATCATAGCTGATTTATAGCTGAAAGGGACCTTTGGAGTCCTCTAGCCCAATTCTTTATTTTACCTACAAAGAAGCTCAGGTTTAGAAAGGTTGTGACTTGTCAAATTTAGGTAGTAAGTGGCATAGGTAGAACCTGAACCCAGGTCTTCTAGCTATAACTCCAGTACTTTTTCTATCACACTGCAGAGAGAAGTTCCAAGGAACATCACACAATGACATTTTTTTTTTGTTTGTTTGATTGAAGGAAGTGGG